TGGCACCAATGCACAATAGAGCTGTGCCTGGCTGCTCTTCTCTCCCTCTGAGGCCAGTGCAATGGCTGCTGGAGCATGGAGGGAGGACCACTCACCAAACACTAGGACCAGGGCACAATAGAGTTGCTCTTCTCTCCCTCAGAGACCAGATCCAGAATGTGGAGCCATTCTTTCCATGGACATCCAGAAGGATGTACTCTTGAACAACAACAACAACTACAACAACCCTTCTCCTTCAGTTTCACCTTCTGCCCCATCAGTACGCAGTATGTCCGTACATCGATAAATCATGTAGAATTAACCAGCACACGTTGCTCCTGCTATCACTCAGTCATGTAATAAAAGACTATAGGGAGTATTTTTTTCAAAGAAAGGAAGGATCTTTTCTGTCTGTTTTTCTTCTTAAAATAACACACACACACACACACATGCATCAGAGCTGCTGTCTTTCTCTGACTGGAGAGGGTGTTTTGCTCCTTTAGAACTCCATCCACACACCCGACAAGCCATTAATTGTGATTTTCAGAATCAAAGGCCTGTGCCAAAGGGGTGAGTGGGGGGAGAGAGAAACACACATATAGAATCATCTCAGAAGGCTGGGTTCCAGCTCCCTCCTTCCCCCCTTTCCTTCCATCAAATTCCAGACCGAACCAATGTCAAATCTTTTGATACTAATAGTGAGAATAATAAATCTAGAAACACACAACGACTTTGTTTGATTTTCCAGCTCCCTTGACTGACTGGCAGTGGTTTCGGTTTTTTAAAGGATCTCGTTTCCGGATGGGAAAAGACCCTTTAAGGCCATTGAAATTGCACGACTGATTTTTTTTAAAATTAGTTTTCTCTCTCCTTTTTCATGCCTTGCTTCATCTGCTTTCTTTCCAGGTATTGCCTTCACACGCTTGTTTGTACCAGCTTAGTAAGAGACCAGGCGCTTTCAGATCTGAGCACCGAGTCGAGATCAACTCACAGGCGAGGCTCAGGGAATAGAGGGAATTGAAGCATTTCTCAGCTCCATGCCCAGGTTTTTCCATTCCACAGCCTTGGTCTCAAAAGCCTTCTCACTTTCCAATTGTGGCTTGTGCTATCAATGCATAGAAACCTAGAATCCTAGAGTTGGCAAGGGATCCCAAGGATCATCCATCCAACCCCCTTCTGCCATGCAGGGAGACACAATCCCAGCACTCTTGCCATGCAGCCTCTGTTTAGACACCTCCACCACCCTCCAAGTCCAAGGCAATGTCTTCCACTGTTGAACACCTCTTACCTTCAGGACATTCTTCCTAATGTTGAGGCATAATCTCTTTTCCTGTAGTTTGAATCCATTGCTTCATATCCTAGTCTCTGCAGCAGAAAACAAGCTTGCTCCATCCTCAATGAAACACCACTTCCGATATTAAAACGTAGCTGTCGTGTCTCCCCTTAACCATCTTTTCTCCAGGCTAAACCTACACAGCTCCTTAAGTTGCTCCTCCTAGGGCTTGGTGGTTTCCAGACCTTTCACCATTTTGATCTCCCTCCTCTGGACATGTTCCAGTTTGACCACATCCTTCTTGAAATGTGGTGCCCAGAACTGCTCTGGTTAGATGACCAGTGATTCCCAAAGCAGGTGGTGGAAAGATCCAGGGGGGGGCAGTGAGGGGGAAAGGGGGTGGCAGGGTGGGCTTCAGTTAAAAGTATTGCTACCCAAGAAAGAATCAGAGATCTTTAGGAACTTGGTGGGGTTGAGGGTTGCATGCAACGTCTTTTCAGGGTCCCTGAACTGATCATTTTAATGACCATCGCTGATCATTTATTATGGTGGTGTCTCCCACGCTTGGCCTGCCCTCATGAGCTCACTCCCTTTGCTGCATGCCACTAGTGATGGCAGCGGTGGTTGGGAAACATACAAGGCTTGGGCGGAGGCATCACTTCCGTGCCTCAGAATGGCATCATTTTGGGATGGATTGGCTGGCTGGGGCAAGGGGTGTCGAAGCATGTGGCAGTGGAGGAGAAGTGGCGGCCAAAAAATTTGGAACCCTTAAGCTTTGTGAGGCCTGCTGGGACTTGGCTGGAAATTTAGAGCTATTCTGTAGTTTCTGTTTTGTTTCATTACGCAGAATGAGAGAAGAGGTAACAGAAGATGCAGTGCTTGTGGATGTGGGGATGGGAGACATCTGAAGCTGTGCAGGGAAGACGTGTCTCTGGTGAAGGAGAGGAAGGATCCATTCTTGGAAAGAGTCCTTCACCTTGGAGCAGCTCCTGGAGTTAAAAATCTCTCCCTTTCCCCAATCTGCACCAGTCTCCAGACCAGGGCATATGGCCTCTGTAACCCCTCTCTGCCCCAACAAAGGAGGATTAAGACTCTCCTTCCTCACCAGGGAGAAGCTTCTCCTTTTGCATTTGGTCACCTTGGGAGCAACAACTGAGCAGCTGGCTGAGCAGTGACCGAGAGGCCTCTTGCCTGTACTGGCCTTTGATTCAGGGTGGCACGGGCGAGAGGTTTCTTGGTTGCTGTTCAGCCAGCTACTTGGTTGTTGTTCCCAAGGTGATCAGGTGCAAAGTGATCGAGATTGGTTATTTCAAATTTGCAGAACAGTAGATCTCATATTGAGAAATATATGGTGTGTGTGTGTGTGTGGCGGCGCTAGGGTCATCGCCCAAGACGAAAGGGGGCAGTATCTGGAAAAAGTTTGGGACCACTGATCTAGATGTTATACTGTTATTGATGCAGCATATTGGCTTTTTTAGCTGCTGCATCACACTGTTGGCTCATGTTCAGCTTCTTGTCTACTGGGGCTCCTAGATCCCTTTTGCATGTACTATTTTCATGCCAGGTGTCACCCATTTTATATCTGAGCCCTTCATATATATATATATATATATATATATATATATATATATATATATATATTGCTTAAGTGGAGTTTTAAAAATGAACACACAAAGGGAAATACATTACAGTCTTCCTTCTCTTTCTGGCCTCTCAGGGAATAATATGAAGGCAGAGGCCAGGCAATATCTCACTAGGTTCCTATAGCTAGAGGGATGAAGACAAGGTCACCCTGATGGACCTCCTTGGGAAGTAGTCCTGGAGGATGTCTTTTCCCTTGTGCATCTGGCTGTAGAAAGCCAGTGTGATGTAGCCAGTTAAGTGTTAAACTCAGATCCCAGAGATCAAAGTTTGAATCCTTGTTCAGCCATGGAAAACCCCTTGAGCAAGTCACACCCTCTCAGCCTGAGGAAGGCAATGGGAAATCTCCTTGGAATAAACCTCAAGAAACAGTCTGATGAAATGGTTGGCATATTGGAGACTCCAGGAAACCAGGGTTCAAAAATCCCACTCAGCTATGAAAAGCCACTGGGTCAACTTGGGGACAAGTCTCACTCTCTCAGCCACAAGGGAAGGCAATGGCAAACCTCCTCTGAAGAAATCTTGTCAAGAACATCTTCTGATAAGGCTGCCATGAATGGAACTAGGCCTGGGTGGCCATGATAGCAAAAGAAAGGTGCGTTCTATGGCAGGAATGGACATTACATCAATGTGAGACACCGCAATTCCAGCCTGAGACATTATTTTTTATTATTATTATTATTATTATTATTATTATTATTATTATTATTATTATTATTATTATTATTTCATAGGACCAACATTTAAAACCAGGCCACCAGGGGAGATACTCCAAGATTGGAATAACATGTTTCCGCCTCTTGATTCTTGGTGACCAAATATATACTATAACTCCCTATCCCTGTCCATCCAACTTCTTCCTCTAATGACCCTTTTTTAAAAAGGGGAATGGCCTTTCTTTCTTCCCCCAACTCTGTGATTCAAGGTGGCATTTGAGAGGAATGGTTCCCTTTAGCATAGCCGACAGCTAATTTGTGTAAAGTTTAATTACAGTGAGCATTAATTAACTGGCAGTGTGTTGCAATACTAAAAGGGAAGCCATCTGTTCCTGGGGAAAAATGTCGTTTCCTCCTTCCACTCGCCTCCTCCAGCCTTGATAATGTCACTGCTGGGGAGGTTGTTGCATCAGCGACAACGTAACACTGAGTTGCTGGAAGAGGATTTCGCCCATCATGGATGATGGAGGCTGGATTGCCAAGGGACGGGAATGGGAACTGCTCAGAAATGTGATTGCATACAGGCGTGAAGTTGCAAGGAGTGTGCGTAAAATGAAAATATTGCCCTCCAGATCAATAATAATAATAATAATAAGTTTTATTTCTAACCCGCCCCTCTGCAT